GGCTTTGACCTGTGATCCTCATGATCTCTGCCTCCTGAGTAGTTAAGATTACAAGCATGAGCCACTGGCACTGGCCAGACTACTCACTTTCAAAGAGCTTAGAGAACTCAATCAGTGACTTTTGCAGCCTGATGAACACTAAGCTAGAGGAATGCAGAAGGTGCTCTGGAAGCACAATGGAATTCTGGGAAGCTACTCTGTCAGGGGATAATGCTCCAACTGAATCTTGAAGGACCAATAGATGTTTGCTAGGTGGAGAAATATGGGGAAGAAAATTCTAGAGAGGAACCATATATGTGAGGGTGGAGGGGTAGAGCAGAGAAGCATGATGTTTTTGCCAAATCGCCATGAACAAACATGGTATCTATAGGATGCCTGTGGGGATTAATCAGAGAAAAAGTTTGAGAGGTAGGTAGCTGTCCAGTCTTGAAGCCCTTTATTTAATATATGAAAAGCTTGAATTTTATCTTAAATTATGAAAGGATTTACTTTTTAAAAAGATCACTTGTAGCAATTTGAGCACTGAATTGGAAAATAGATTGAAATCAGGTAGTTCAGTTTAGAGACAGTCATAGTAAACCACAGAAGAAATTGAGCCCTAAAGTGGTCATACAGGCTGGGCACTGGTGGCTCATGCCTATAATCCTAGCTACTCAGGAGGATCAAGGTTTAAAGCCAGCCCTGGGCAAAGAGTTCGTGAGACCCTATCTCAAAAATACTCATCACAGAAAAGGGCTGGTGGAGTGGCTCAAGTTATAAGAGCACCTGCCTAGCAAGCATGATGCCCTGGGTTCAAACCCCAGTGCTACCAAAAAAAAAAAAAATCTCTCTTAAGAGAGAGATTTGTTAGATACGGAGGTATGGGAGTAGAGTGGGGAGAGAATAGGGATAAGAAGGATGAGCCCTTGAATGAATTCAGGTTTTCTGGGTTCTATGCCAGGGTGGATGGTGATACAGGAAGATGCATGTTTGGGAATAAAAGGATTTCAACTAGTTGAATTTGAGGTACCCATGGAGCCATGGAAGTAGATGGGTATCCTAGCCTGGAGGTAGACAGAGAAATTGAGGCTGAAGAGAGACTTGGAAGTCAGTAGTATATGGTTTCAGTTTACACGATGACTTTGGATTGACTAAAAGTTATGTTGAGGTTGAAGAGCTGCAGATGAGGAGAGAGCCTTAGCAGTGGCAGCTAAAGGTGTGACCAAAGTGGGATCTGGGGAAGTCTGAAAAGAAAACCAGAAAGGTAAATGAAAAACCAGTCAAGAGAAGCTAATACAGAAACTTTAAAGCAACAGAGGTTATCATGAGAAGGGGATCAGTAGCCAGTGCAAAGATCAGTTAGAGATGAATTAACATGGGTCATGACACGTGTACACGAAAGCAGTGCTATGAATATTTCTGTATAGCTATCCTCAACTAGCAAAAGTGCTTTGTCTTCCTTACTAGGCTTGTGTCTTTTCTTCAACAAAATTAGTGATAAAGGCAGAACAGGACTTGCCTGGACTGAGGGGGGAAGGGGAGAGGACAGCAGGGAGAAATGACCCAAACGATGTATGCACATGTGAATAAATGAATAATTAAAAAAAAAAAGAATCAGAAAAACCAGTGAAGTGTGGAGGAAGGCAGTAGTAGTTAGCAGGTTTGGCGAAAAGGTCAAGTCTGATAAGGACAGAAAAAAGCTCATTGGATTTGGCACTCTGGTCACTGGTAACTTCAGGGAGAGCAGGATTATTGGAGTGATGAGAATAGAGGCCAAACTGCATTGGCTTGAGGAACAAATGGGAGGTAAGAAGAAAAGACTATGTCTTGCAAGATGGTTGCAAAGAGATGGAGGGAGGATAGTAAGAGGGAGTGTGGGGTAAAAAGGAAAGTTTTTTTTTTTTTTTTTTAAAAGATGAGCGACTCAAGCACATTTTGTGTGTCAAGGGCAATGAGCAAGAGAGTACGTAGTGGTGATAATACAGTTTTTGAGTTTGTAGAGAAAGTGAAATCCAAGGCAGAAGTAGAAAAATTACCTCCTTCATTAAGATAAGGAAAAGGTGAAGAATGGGTTGGGGAAAAATGTTTGGTATTTGAACAAAGAAATTTGAGTAGGTTCCTGCTTTAAGACTTTTTTTTTTTTTTTTTCTTTTTCTGGTAGCACTGGGGTTTGAATTCAGAGCCCCATGCATGGTAGACAGGCGCTCTTCCAGCTTGAGCCACTCCACCAGCTTTTTTTTTTTTTTTTTTTTTTGTGATGGGTTTTTTTCAAAATAAGATCTGACGAACTATTTGCTGGCTTCTAACAGGGCTGGGTTCTAACTGTGGTCCTCCTGATCTCTATATCCTGAGTAGCTAGGATTACAGGCCTGAGCCACTGGCTCCCAGCAAGACTTTTTATGTTTCTTGGAATGTAGGAGCATCCTGCATCCTCTTGGGACAGAGGGCTGGTGTGCTAAGAATAAGGAGGGTTGGTAGAAAAGGGTCTTTGAGAAGAGAGACAGCAGATTTGAATAGTGCTGGTGAGTGAGTGGGTGGAATAACTGCTTAGGGGTCTTGTATGGCTAGGCAGACATACTTCTGGTAGGGTGGGAGGGCATTCCGAGTAGATAGAATAGCCTAGGAAAGACCTTGGGATATCAAAGAATATAGATGAATGGAGCAGTATTTTGAATGGCTGGAGAGAAGTTGTATAAAGGGTCTGCTTTTTAGGGTGGGCTTTATAAGTTATGCTGAAGGATGTGGAATATTTGGAGGCAAGAGGGAGCCTGTGAAATCAGACATGTCAGCCCCATTCAAAAATATTTTACATAGAAGGTGAAATACATTAAATCTGTCTATATATATATCCATTCCTTTGGTGTGGAAACATGTAAATAAGTTGTAAGGAAAGTGGTAATATTATTAATATGTTCTGGTCAAATATTTTAAATCTTGCAAATTATTATTTTTGGAGGGGGAAATGTGGTCATTTCCAGAAATTACAGATATTTAAGCTGGTGGAGTAGTTCAAGTAGTAAGAGCACCTGCTAACAAGTGTGAGGCCCTGAGTTCAAACCCTAGTGCTGCAAAAGAAAAAAAAGTAAATTTAGAATATTGAGCCTATACAATCTAGATTTCCTGGAGGAATGGAATGAAGTGCCATTCCTAAGAGTGCCTGCCTAGCCAGCCTGAGGCCCTGAGTTCAAGTTCTAGTGTGGCCAAAAAAAAATGTGTAGAAGTTATAGACAGTATTTTAATTACCAGTTATAACTATAGCTTATAGTTATTGTTATCTATCAGTTGATTATATGGCTTATATGTTTTTTATTTTATGTGGATGACTGCTGGAAGATTATTTAAGAAATTAGCTCCTGGCAGTGTAAAAGTCCAGATATTAAAATGAATTGCATGCCAACTATTCCATTGCTGGGTTAAATTTAGAACTATGTAGAGCTCTAATAGAATTGATCTCTCTGGGGGTTTTAATAGACAGTAGTCAGCTTTTCAGAGTAAGAAAGAATATGGGTAACTTCAAATTAATTTTTGCACCGTCACCCAAACCACTTAATTAAGATACAGAGTCTAGTGAAAAGTAAGAATTGTTCTGAGAATTTGATTTGACTACTGTATTGCTGAAAGTTTGTTTCCACCTGGGCCAAAGTTCCTGAAAGGTAATTTTTTTTTTCCTTCCCAGGTGAATTGCTAAAGGCTATCCACTGTCTTTTCCTCAAGTGTCTCTTCAAGTTATACTTGATAAATACAGTTCTTAATACTTCACCTTGATGGATGAAGCAATACATCTGTGCTAGAGATCAGGTGAGCATTACATTTCAGTGCTATGGTGCATTTTATAGTGATGTTGGAATTGTTTGTGAATTCAGACTAAGCTTTATATAGGATATTTTGAGGAGGAACTGTTATTCATACACATTTAGCTGTACATGAAATGTGAGAATCTGTTCATGCAGTTGGATAGGACCTCAACACAAGAAATGGCAAGTAAGAGGAATGTTTATAGTGAATATATGTTTAATACTTCACTTGATAATTGAAAAGTAGAATTTTTTGCTACTATAGCAAGAAATTTTTCATGGATTGCATTGTAGCTTTGTTCATTCAGCATGCCATTATTACATGTGGCTGTGAAAGAATGTAGTCTTTGTTCTCTACTGTAAGTGATTATAGTAGATGAACTTTACCTAAGTTATCAAGGAAGTCTGTCTGGGGTAGCAGGTCTTTGAAGGACAAGTAGGGTAGAGGAAATTCTATATTAGTAGCTCTCAAACTTTTTTGTTTCTAAACTTTTTACTCTTCTAAAAGCTATTATGGACTTTAAGGAGCTTTTACTTATGTGGGTTTTATTTATCAGTATTGAACTGTATTATAAATTAAAACTAAGGAGCTGGGGACATGGCGCTGAAGTGATAGAGCACCTGCCTAGCAAGGCCCTAAGTTCTAATAACAATACAGCTTGTATATATTATTATCTGTAACACATTTTTTATGATGTGTTGTAAAACATATTTAGTGAGAAGGGGGAGTCCAGGTTGGCTTTGAACTCAGTATGTAGCCTATTCTAATCTCTAATTTGTGACCCATGGTCTGGGGGAGTGGCTCAAGTAGGTAGAGCACCTGCTTAGCAACCATGAGGCCCTGAGTTCAAACCCTAGTACCACCCAAAACAAACAAATGACAATCCTTCTATCTCCACCTGTGAGTAGGTGGATTACAGGCCTGCACCACCATCACATCTGGCCAAGAGGTAGTTTCTTAAACACATACTCATAATGTTGAATCTGAAACCATATTAATGAACTTCTGTACTTGGTGACATTAAAAAGGCTGGGGATATAGCTCAGTTCTAGAAAAATATGTGCCTAGCATTTGCAAGGTTCTGGGTTCAATCTCAGGCACCACAATTATTTGTCATTTTTTTTTTGTTATTGTAATTTTTATTTCTTTTCCTCAGCCTGGTCCAGAGAATGAAGCATGATGAGGAAATTTCAGGCACACGCATCTCCTAGACCCCAAATTGGGGACTCAGCCCAGAGTGGTCAAGGTCAGCTCTGGGAATAAGAGAATTGTTATAGGGTTGTTTGGTTTATTTTTTTGTTTTTTGGTGGTATTGGGTTTGAACTCAGGGCCTCATGGTTACTTGGCAGGCACTCTACCACTTGAGCCACTTCACCAGCCCGTAATTATCTGTCTTGTAAGTTGAATAGATCTTTTACTTTAAATGATTTGGAAACATCATGAATTGGTTAATTGAAAAATATTGGTTCACAAATAAAAAATAAATGAATAAAAACCAACTGAACAACAAAAAAAAGAAAAACAAAAAAGCAAATAGCTGGGTGCCGGTGGTTTATGCCTGTAATCCTAGCTACTCAGAAGGCAGAGATCAGGAGGATTGTGGTTACAAGCCAGCCCCAGGAACATAGTTCATGAGACCCTATCTCGAAAAAAACCATCACAAAAAAGAGCTGGTGGAGTGACCCAAGGTGTAGGCCCTGAGCTCAAACCCTAGTACCACCTTAAAAAAAAAAATACTGGCTTTCTGAGTTATGCAGACCTTTTAAATGTTTGACATATCTCATTATAATAGAGTTTTTTTTGTATCTTTTTCTGTACTGGGGCTTAAAGGATTTAAAGTATATGGGAAGACTGGATGTGGTGGTACACACCTGCAATCCTAGCACTTGGGAGGCTGAGGCAGGATTTTGAGTGTGAGACCAGTCTGGGCTATATAGCAAGATCCTGGCTCAAAAAAAAAAAAAAAAAAAAGAGAAGGGCTGATGTGTATAAAGATAATGTGTAAATACTATGCCATTTTATGTAAGGTAGTTGTGAGTGTCTGTGGATTTCGGCATCTGCGGGGGTGGTGACATGAGGGGTGACTGGGTGATCCTGAAACCAATCCTTGTGAATACTGAGAGGTGACTATAAAATTATTAATTTTTAAAATTGCTTTGTCAAGGACATTCTTAAGCAATTTATCATTTAAAAAAAACCTGAAAGTGTGAATTGGTGAAGAATATTACGGGTGTAGGGTTTTGGTTATTTTTCCTTGTTTTGGTTTTTGAGACAGAGTCTTCCTTTGTAGTCCAGGCTAACCTTGAACTAGTTATTTTCCTGTTTCTGGCTCCCAAGTGCTGGGGTTATAGGTGTGCACCATTATACTTTTTTCTTTCTTTCTTTCTTTCTTTTTTTTTTTTAATTTGTACTTGTAGCAGCAAACCCAGGGTCTTGCATATGCTAAGCGCAAACTCTGCCTCTGAACTACTTACCCAACTCTACTAGTATAGTTTGATGCTCCTGTCTTGACTTTAGTGAACACACTAGCAGTTTTACCTACCAATTTTTTTGTCAATGTGGAAAAGGCAAATAGCATATTAGTCAAATAACATCTTAGTGTCACTTTGAAAAATAACATCTTGTTATTATGAAACTAATTTGACGTCTTAGATCTCACTTTGAGAACTGCTGTTCGAGATAGAAGATGTATCATATATCCAAATAGTGAAGTGAGAAGAAGCAGTTTTCTAGGTCAACTACAAGTAATTTGTTATGTCAGGGTAACATAGTGAGAGAAAAGTTAAGTCGGGGCCAAATCACAAAAGCACCCTGTTAAAGAGTATAGAATTTATTTTATAAGCAGCGAGGAATCATTGAAGGACTTTAAGGAGATATGTGTATATACAGTAGGGAGTGTGCATAAGTGATACCATTGTGTTTATATTTTTCAAGAGTCATTCTTGCAGCAGTGCAACTGTGGTAAGGAGGCCGGTAGAAAATGATGAGGTCCTAAACTAAAACACTGATATGGTCATGTAGTCACAGAAGCCCAAGCTCTATAGACCAGTGTAGAGGTTAGAGTATGCCTTTTCTAAAACAGAACTGAGCCTGGCAGCATCGGTGTATAGAATGAATGGGCAGGAACACAACCATCAAGTCCCCTCAAATAATGTTGTTAGGCAGTTTTTCCTGGAAGTAACCTCCCAAACATTAGAAATGCTCTAGAATCTCTTTTGCATAAATGACTTCCAAAGGTAGCCATTATTCTGACTTCTATTACCATTACTTGTTTTTGAATTTCAAATTAATAGAACCATATATACTCTTTTGTATCTTCTTTTTGTTCAAAATTGAAAATCTTTGAAGGCCAGGTATGGTGGCTGAAGCCTGTAATCCTAGCTACTCAGTTGGTGGAGATCAGGAGGATCAAGATTTGAGGCCAGCCTTGGTAAAAAGTTCACAAGACAACCCCCCTCCATCCCCCTCAGCTAATGGCTGTGTGTGATGGTGTATGCCTGTCATTCCTGCTGTGCTTGGAAGCACAAATAGGAGGATCTTAGTCCATGAAGTGAGACCTTGTCTCAAAAATAACATAAAAAGGGCTACAGAGTACCTCAAGTGGTAAAAGCACCTGTCTAGCAAGTGTGTGGTCCTAAGTTCAACCCCTAGTACCACCAAATAAACAACAATAGTAACCAAAAACAAATGTCTTTGAAATTAATGAATTTAGTTGTATATAGTAATGGTATATTCTTTGTTATTGCTATGTAATATTTCATTGTCTAATTATACCATAATTGTTTATTGGTTTTTTTTTAGTTTTAGAGTGTTATGAATGATACGATTATGAACATTCTTGCACGTGTTGTACAACATTGTTGTACATGGGAGATTTAAGTATTCATTTCGATTGATTATATACCTGGGAGAAGAGCTGCTAGGTCATAGTGTATATGTATGTTTAGCTTTAGTAAGTATTGCCAGTTTTCCAAAGTGATTGTTTTAATTTATTCTCTTGCTAGCAAGGTATGAGAGTTCTAGTTGTGCTACATCTTTGACTATAGTTAATATTACAAGTCTTTTCAATTTTAGCTAATCTGTTAATGTAGTGGTAGCTTCTTACATTTTTTTTTCTTTTTGTAGTTTTAATTTGCATATCCCTGATGACTTGATGTCGAATCATTTTTTCATATGCACATTTGTCTTTTAAGTTTCATCTTGTGTGAAGTGCTTAAGTTTTTTTGTCCATTATTTAACATTTGGTTGTCTTGTTCTTTATATATCTAACATTTGAGTCCTTTGTTGGATACATGTGTTTGCCCATGTCTTCTAGTGTATTTACACATGGAATAAATTAGGATAGATGAAGGAAGAAATTGATAAACCTGATTATTTTGCTGGAATTTCTTGGTCCTATCAATGGAGGGTAGTCTTGTATATTGTTCTTTACAGGTTCTCATTGCCTTACATGGTGGAAATGCACATGCTGATTTCCCATAGGTTATTGGTGATGTTTTGAATTAGTCTCATCTGATTGTATTTCTGTTACCTACTGCTATGGAATAAACCACTCCAAAACTTAGTGGCTTAAAACAACTGTTTGCTTATGACTTAGTGGGTTGGCAATTTGGACAGTGCTAATTTGGCACAGCTTGCCTTTATTCCACATGGTGGCATCTGGGCTCATTCACTTGTTTGTGGTCAGATGGCCAGTTTAGGGGTTGTTGGGACCTGGATAGTCTTACATGTCTAGCATTGGGCTATAGCAGTTAGCTAGGTTGCTGTGGCCCCTCCTGAGGCTGACTTGGCTTCTTTGTGTGATGGCTAGGTTCCAGAAGGGTGAGAGTGCAAGTTGCAAGGCCTCTTGAGGCCTGGGCTTAGAAGTTGCTGTGTCATTCATGCCACCCTCTGTTGGTTAAAGCATCACAAGACCAGAGCAGATTCAAGACATAAGGAAATTAATTCCACTTGATGGAAACTGCTACAAAAAGTTGTAGCCAATTTAAATAATTGTGGCCATGTTAAAAGTGGGTATGGTTTCTTCCTTGTTCTTTTCCCCTCTCCCTCTCTCCTTCCCTCCTTCCTTCCCTTCCCTTCACTCCCTCCTTCCCATCCTCCCCTTCTCTTCCTTCTTCCTTCCCTCCCTCCCTCTCTCCCTCTCCTTCTTCCCTCCTTCCTTCTTTTCTTTCTTTCTTTCTTTTTTTTTTTTTTGAGACAGACTGGTCTTAAGACTCCTGCCTTAGTCCCCTAGTGCTGGGTTTACAAAGTGTGCATCGTCAGCATCGTCATGCCTGCCCTTCCCTATTCTTTTTTTTTTTCATTCCTTTTATTTTTATTTTTTTGTTTTTTGTGGAATTGGGACTTGAACTCAGGGCCTACACCTTGTGCTACTCCACCAGCCCTTTTTTGTGAAGGGGATTTTTGAGATAGGGTCTTGCAAACTGTTTGCCCATGCTGACTTTGAACTGCCATCCTCCCGATCTCTGCCTTCTGAGTAGCTAGGATTACAGGCATGAGCCACTGGTTCCCAGTTTTTCATTCCTTTTAAATGAAATGAATTTTTGTTTTCAAAATTGTATCAACTTGTTTCTCTTTTTGAAGTTAATGTTGGAACAAAGCTTACTTGGTTAAAGGATGTCTTCTATGACTACTTGATATGGCCAGGGACTATCTTCACAGTTGTTTTCCAAATTACCATAACAATACAACATATCTGTTAATGTTGAAAAGATTATATTTCTTCTCCAGGTAATTTTGATCTTTTTTAAGCTGGTGATTACTGAGGGTTAACACTCTGGTCCTTTTATGGACTCTGTTCTGAGCCCTTCCATGGTTTGTTAGTCATTCAGAGTTGCTAATGAAAGTTACCTGAAATAAAAGGTTTTTTCTTGCTAGGTGCCCAATGAAGGGAGGAAGGGAAAGACTCCATAGGAGACGGTGTCTAGGCAGGCACTTTTACCACTTGAGCCACTCCACCAGCCCATGGAGACGGTGTCTAGATTGTAGTCTTGAGCAGCGTTTTTGTGTATGAAATAAGCAAGAATCTTGGGCAAGGCTGAGTTGTCAGTGACCTGTCAGGATGAATCAGCAGAAGTCCTAGGTGAGGTGACAATGTCAGCACAGTGAGCCCCTTGCCCTGAGTTTATTGGGCTCTCATTATGGTAGCTATCATAGCCTTACTTGAGAAAAAAGTAGGAGCCATTGTTCAAGATTCAGATGACTTTAGAAACTATTTTGGGAAATCGTATGTTCTCCCTCATATGTGGACATTAGATCAAGGGCAAACACAACAATGGGATTGGACTATGAGCACATGATAAAAGGGAGAGCACACAAGGGAGGGGTGAGGATAGGTAAGACACCTAAAAAATTAGCTAGCATTTGTTACCCTTAACGCAGAGAAACTAAAAGCAGATACCTTAAAAGCAACTGAGGCCAATAGGAAAAGGGGGACAGGAACTAGAGAAAAGGTTAGATCAAAAAGAATTAACCTAGAAGGTAACACCCACGCACAGGAAATCAATGTGAGTCAATGCCCTGTATAGCTATCCTTATCTCAACCAGCAAAAACCCTTGTTCCTTCCTATTATTGCTTATACTCTCTCTACAACAAAATTAGAAATAAGGGCAAAATAGTTTCTGCTGGGTATTGAGGGGGTGGGGGGGGAGAGGGAGGGGGCGGAGTGGATGGTAAGGGAGGGGGTGGAGTGGGTGGTAAGGGAGGGGGTGGGGGCAGGGGGGAGAAATGACCCAAGCCTTGTATGCACATATGAATAATAAAAGAAAAAAAAAAAGAAACTATTTTGGGGGGAGGGGAGAGTCATTTTCAGTATTGGTGCACCATTGAAAATGACATGTTTTTCAGATTTAGCATTTTGGTGTGCCTAAGTGTTGTAGTTGTTAATATCATTAAAACTTGTCTCTGGGTGACTAGAAGCTATTGCACTTCTCACATTTAATTGTCTTGGGCCCCAGACAGGTGGACTTGCTAACTGTAGTTTCTGATTTATCTATTGCCCAAACCAGGGATAATTTGATAAGAATAGACATTTTATTGCAAAAGATGGATGTTGGCTGTTAAATACATCTGGTTAGAAGTGTAGGACAAAGTATCTGTTTTTCTGGTAGTGTTAAGTGTGCCAGTTCAGTCTGTGATCAGAAGACTTCCAAATCCTTTGTGTCCCAAGGGAAAAATCCATTGCAGGACACTTGGGTATAAAGGTAAACTCCCTTTAAAAGTTAGGGAAGAGAAATACAAAAGGGAGCATGGTGGGCACAGGTAGGGCCTGCTGGCAGGTACTTTTAAAATTTACACTAATCTACAGTATGGAAGGAACCAGGTGATTCCCATCCAGTCAGTGAGTGGGGTGGGGCATGGGCAGTTCCCCACCAGATGAGGGTGGTCTGGGCCATCCCTGAGCCAGACGTGGGCAACCTACATAAACATGTAAGTCCCGAACTTTCCTTCTAGCCTGCTTCAGTGACCGAATCATTATTTTTATTTTTTATGTTTTTGTGGTACTGGGGTTTGAACTCAGGTCCTCATGCTTGCTAGACAGGTGCTCTACCACTTGAGTCACTCCATCATGCCTTTTTTGTGTTGGGTCTTTTTAAGATAGAGTCTCTTGAATTATTTGCTCAGGCTGACCTCGACTTTCAGTACTACTGATCTCTGCCTCCTGAGTAATTTAGGATTATAGGGGTGAGCCACTGGCGCCCAGTAACAGGGTCATTATTAAAGCTTTATAGAATGTTCTACCAATCAGATGGCTGACCTTCCTACTTTTGTGGGGTTATCTTTAAGGTATTTGGTGAAAGCACAGTGATTGTCTCACAGGCTTTTGCAACTTTGGTTAGTTTAGCTTAAGTTATTTTGGACTGTGAGGCACTTCTTAATGCAGTGGTAAGTAGCCAGATCTTTGGCAGTTACTGCTGCCTGAGATGATCAGATTTGGATCCCACAGAGCCATAGATTACCATTTTATTTTCCCCTGAGGTAAATTTTACCATCAGAGAAAGGGAGATTTCTGAGACTACAAGGCAGATTGTTAGAATGGAGATGAGAACACAGGGTTGATAGCTTGACCATCTTATTGGCTGTGCAGATAAGATTTACAAACCTTAAAAAGCCTGTTTACTTCAGAAGAAGTACTTAGTTTTATAAATTAATCAGACAAATAGAAAATTATTGCAGTACATATTGCATGTCAAACACTATTTAGCATTGTTGGTATATATGAACAAGATACACAAAATTTCTGCCCCCAAAGTGCTTACAGTTTTGTCTGGGAAGATAGGCAGTTTCCAAATAAATAATTACAGATTATGATAAATGCTATGAAGAAAGTAAATGTGATGTGATAGACAGCAAGGGAGTGAAAGAGAGGGGATACTTAAGATTGAGTGGTTAGGGAAGACGTCTTTGCAGTGACTTATGAGCTATTCCTTAAAGGGGAGGCAGAACCTACATTTCTTGGGCAGAGACTGATAGAAAAGGCCTTGTGGGAAGGATTTGGTCCAATAGACAGAGGCCAGATTTTGTAGAGTTCTGTAGTCATTGTCCGGTATGATGGGATGTCATTGGTGAGAGGGAATGGGTTGAATGAGAAAGCTAATGGTTGGAATTAACAACATGTATCTCTGGAAGAACTCACTGTAGGATGTCTAGGGTATTTCTTTCAAAAAGTATTCTACCTTTAATTATGATAAAATTATAATTAGGGCAGAAAATAAGCAATAAGTACTAGTGTGTGTTTTGAATTGTGTTGCTCTCCATTTTCTGACTCAAGAGTTGGAGAAGTATGTCTTGGTATGGCAAGGCTCTCAGAATGCAACTACTGGGTCCACTTAAAAATCACTTATTGGGACCTGGTTTGAGGGCTCTTGGGGACAGGCAGCTGATAATTTCCCTGCATGGGAGAGAACAAGGCATTTCATGGAAAGAAGTATTCTCTTTGGCCATACCTTTCCAACTTTAACCACCTACCACACATACCTGATGCCAAAACCCTGTGGTGCAGGGGCTATAAAGAACCCAAAAAAACTTTTTCATGGAAATCTATAAAACATTGAGAGGAAAGACTTAAGTGGTGTGACATTTGTTATGGATTAGAGTTGTGAAACAAAAGTGGTGCACTAGGAATACTCACTTCAGCATAGAACACAGTAGGGCTTAGGTGTTTTGAGGGTACCAAAGAGTATAGACTGGTTTGGGTATGTTAAGGATTCCAGTTGTGGCACTCAGCACTCTGGGCTCTTGAAGAAGATTCAGCAACAACCAGCCCTCAGGGTCTTATCATAGTAACAATAATAATAATAATAATAATAATAATGATGAATCCTGCATTTGGAGTGTGGGAATATTAAATTATGTGTTTGTTCTGTCTCTGACCTCTTCTTTATTTGTGCTAATAAGAGAGATTCTGGACTTGCTTGCTCAGTTTGACTTGTGTGAAAAGATGGTGGGTAAAAAAGCAGCTGAAGAATTTCAAGAAGTAAGTCTGGAAAGTGGGACAAGGACTGCTTATTAGAAGAGGGGATTAATAGAGCCAAGTGAGCAGAGTTTTAAAATTGTGAATTGAGAGTGGTAATGGCTATTTAGAGGGTTCAAGGCAGGTGCAGGACTATGAGAAATGCAAACAAAAGAAATTGGGAAAGAAGATACTAAAAAGTGCTGCTGCAGATTTTGAATTGGGTCTCTTTATTTTCTCTGAGGGTCTCAATATATTAAGATATAATATGGCTTTTAACCTTTTGTTTTGTTTTGTTTTTTTGAGGTTAAAGTTGTTTCTTACATGTGATGCCATTCCAGCCCTGGACTCATGGAGGCTGAACATTTATTCAGGTAATAATAGGTAACATTTATGGGATACTTTCTGTGTACTGTGTACCAGGATATAAACTAAGTGCTATACCTGCATTATCATTTAATCTTCACACAACCCCATAGGGTTGGAAGTAATTATTGTGCCCATTTAGTAGATGAAGAAATTGAGATTTAGGAAGTATATCAAGATTCAGTTCATGCTGGAACACTTGCCTAGCAAGTAAGAGCCCCTAGGTTCAGTCCCTAGTAGGGGAAGGGGGAATTGAGTTCAGCTCAGCTGAATTAAAAAATAAAGCCTCTTTGGCTCCAGCCAAAGTGAGAGATTGACAGATGCTGGTAGCTTGGATTAGATGATATCATTTGTTCACCTGCCATAAATATCATGAATATAAAGTGGTTTTCCTCTACTCTCTCTCTTTTTTTTTTTTTTTGGTTTTGCAGTATTGGGGTTTGAACTCAGGCCTTCACACTTGATAGGCAGGCACTTTACCAGCTGAGCCATGTCCCCAGCCTTAAAGTGGTTTTAATTGACTAAATTTGACCCGAATTTTCATAACTCTTTCCTGCTACTGAATGCATTATACTTTTTTTTTTTTTCCCGTTTGTTTTGAGACAGGGTCTCTCTAGGTATAGATGCCCAGGCTGGCCTCATGCTCACGATCTTCTAGCCTTGTTCTGAGCAATAGGATCTTAGTAGTGCTCTACCATGCCTGGCTTTCACCATACTTTTTATTTGTCTTTAAAACAAAAGGCATACCTTTGGTAAAGAAAAATCCAATCTAGAATTTACTTATTTATTTATTTAGGCAGTAATGTGATTGAACTCTGGGCCTTGTGTTTGCTAGGCAGACACTCTACCACTTGAGCCACACTCCCAGCCTTTTTTATTTTAATTATTTTTCCAATAGGGTCTCGCTTTTATGCCTTGGCTGGCCTGGACCATAATCTTGTTACCTACACTTCCTGTGTAGCTGTGATGACAGGTGTGTGCCACCATACCCAGCTTTTTATTGATTGAGATGGGGAACTCTTGGACTTATTGCCTGGGTCTCTCAGAGATCCTCCTGATCTCAACCTCCCATGTATCTAGGATTATAGGCATGAGCCTATAATGAGCACTGGGATTGAACTCAGGGCATTGTACTTGGCCTGGTTTGAGCTGCACCCTCATCTCCCAGTTCAGGGTTTTTTTTTTAAATTAAAAAAAAGTATGAGTAGGAAGTTTAGGAGAAGGTGATCAGTTTAAAATTTAGAAAAAATATATACGTATTAAATAAATTACTTGATAGAATGGCTTAAAATGGAAAGCAAAATAGAAAGCAGCCAAAATGAGGTTTTTGGTTAACAGTGATGGTTGTCCATAGAGTTATGATGGAGCTGAAATATTCTATTGCCTAGTATTGTTGTAAACATCCTAACATTGTAGTGCAATGTATCACTCATGTGTTTGTGATGATGCCAGTGTAAACAAACCTACTATACTGCCAGTCATATAAAAGTCTAGCACATACAATACTTGGTAATGATAATAATAAGTGACTTATTTATTTAACCATACATACATTTATCATTGTTTTAGCATATATTCCTTCTTTTTATTAAAAAAGTTTACTATAAAACAGCGTGCTTTATTACATCAGCAGCAACCTCATACATTTTGTGTTATCGTGTCTCTCGAGTCCATTTCTCTTATGCTTGAATTAATCGTGTGTTATTTTGTTCAGCATACTCCATGAGCATTCAAAATCTCCTGCTAATGTTGACAGTAAGAGGCCATGTTAACTGATTGACGGTTTCAGAAATTATAGTTCATGGTTGCTGGCTCCATTGTTCTGGGTCTGAGGTAAGGTAGAACATGTCATGGTAGAAGGATGTTGTAGAGAAGAACTACTCACCTCACAACAGCTAAGAAGTAGAGATCCTAGTTTAGGATTTTTAGCCATAAAACTTTTCTAGGACCTGGGTGTGGTGATGCATACCTGTAATCCCAGAATTTAGGAGATTGAGGCAGGATAATCACAATGTTGAGGCCAGACTGGTCTGCACAGGGAGAGCCTGTCTCAAAAAAAAAAAAGAGAGAAAAGGGGATAGAGATGTAGCTCAGTGTTTGCTTAGTATGCAAGAGGCACTGAATTTTAGTACCCAGTATTGCAAAAATAAATAAAACAACAAAAAAGCAAAAGTCTTAATTCTTGAGCTGGAGGGGTAACTCAGTGATAGACCCCTGTGCTTAGCATGTGTGGGGCCCTGAATTTCATCGCACACACCAAACTAAACAAACCCAGAAAACAACTTTTCTTTTTTTTTTTTTTTTTATTATTCATTACATGTGCATACATTGTTTGAGTCATTTCTCCCTTCTCCCCCAGAAAACAACTTTTCTAACTTTTTATAAAGTAGGTAAAAAGTTTTGAAATAGTTTAAATTTGTTTGCATTAAAATCTGTATAAGATAAATATCTATAACTAGGGAATTATTTCTTAAGAGGTGATTAATGAAGATAAGTTTCTTGTTGGTATTTTCTCCCTTGAGATACCGTTCACAGGTATTTTCAGCTTTAAAGAACCTAATTAGGATTTCCTACAGGAGTTTCTTTCTGCATCTAAATACTTGTTTACAGATCACATTAATTTTAGTACTTGTCAAATCTAGAGGAGAACTGGGAGTGTTTCTAGTATTGCTGTTTGAAGATCAGTAAAAAGTGAAGGTGAGCATCTCTGAAATGATAATGTAGGTTAAATGGAATATTTTTAAGTTTATCAATTCAAATTGAATGGTTTTCCATGTCATTTTGCCAAGTGTTGTTTGTACACTCAGGTAAATTAATATTGCTTCTTCGGTTACTAAGTGGCTAGCATGAGTTCATTTGCTCTATTTTCATTTCCCCATCTTTTTAAAAGAAGAGCTTTATTAAGGTATAATTAACATACAGTAAACTGCCCACATATGAAAGTGAACTTTTTGCCTGGAGTGGCCTTGACTCATTTTTGTTGGTATCTGCTTGTCCTTAGGCCAGTGTTACACTGTTTATTTTACTGTAGCGTTGTAGTTATAAAATCAGGAGGTATAGGGATCCTCCTGATCTTTGCCTTCTGATTTAGCTAGGATTACAAATGTGAGCCATGTGTGCCTGGCAGGTCTTCATATGTTGTTTTTTTTTGCAGTGTTGTTTTGACTATTTAGGACCCTTTGCAGTTTCATATGAATAGCTGTAAACACCTATATTAAAAAAAATTATTGGGTTGGAACAGGGATTGCAGCTAACATTGTTACACAATGTCCTGGGTATGGTGGCATATGCCAGTAATCACAGCACTTGGGAGGCTGAGGTAGGAGGATCATGAGTTAGAAGACAGTCTGGAATACATAGTCAGGTTTTGTCTTAAAAAAAAAAAAACCCCAAAATGCTGGCCAGGTGTGTTAGCTCACATCTATAATCCTACCTACTCAGGAGATGGAGGTCAGGAAGATCATAGTTTAAGGCCAGCCCTGGTAAACGGTAAGACCCCCCCATCACCACTAATAAGCTGGATGTGGTGATGCGTCCTGCCTGTCATTCCAGCTGTGCAGGAGGTTTAAATAAGAGAATTGCAGTCCAGGTTAGCACAGGCAAAAATGTGAGAGCCTATTTGAAAAATAAAGCTAAAAGGACTAGGGGTGTGGTCAAGTGGTACAGCACCTGCCTAGCCAGCACAATGTCCTGAGTTGAAACCCCTATACAAAAAAAATCCCCCTCCCCAAAAAAAACCCAAAGAAACAAAAAGATATAATATAATATATGTGATTATACCAGCTCAATAATAAATGTATCCAGTACCTTTGTCCCTGTGTAGTTCCATTTCTTCTCTCTTTTTACTGTTACCAAGTTATCAAATTACATCTTCATATATGTTGTCCTCATCAAAACAAATTTATAACTATACTTTTATGGAGTTGTTTTTAAAAATCCAGAGAAAAAAGTTACAAAAAGAAAATACATTTATATGGTCCTTCATATTTACTTTATATTACCTTTATCAGTATTCTCTTTTTTTCACTAGAATTTGAGTTACTGTATAGTGTCCTTTCATTTCAGCTAGAAATGAAATGAAATAGTTAAGTATTTCTTATGAAGTAGGTCTGCTAGTGACAAATTGTGCCCTTTTTTTTTGGTGGTACTGGGGTTTGAACTTGGCTTCATGCTTGCTAGGCAGGTGCTTTATGGCTTGAACCACTCCTTCAGCCCAGATTATATCTTTTTGTTTACCTGTAACTGTCTTAATTTTTTTCCCTTTTTTTTTTTGGTGGGACTGGGGTTTAACCAAGTAGGTGCTCTACTGCCTGAGCCACACCTCCAGTTCATTTTGCTTTGCTTATTTTTAGATGTGGGGATCTCACAAACTATTTGTCTGGACTGGCCTAAAACTGTGATGGATATCAGCCTCCACCTCCAGTCCAGCTACTTTTAAAATACCTTGTCTTTGATTTTTAACAGTTTGATTATGATGTGTGCATCTGTGGATATATGAATTTTTCCTGGTTGGAACTTGAGCTTCCTAGATGTATATGTAGATTAGTATTTTGCATGAAATTTAAGAAGTGTATAGCCATGTTTTCATCAAATAGTCCTGTTGCCTCCTTTTATTCTCTTACGGGGCTACAAATGTGCATTTCTAGTGTGACTGATAGTGTCCCACAGGTCTCCTAGGTTGTGTTCATTTTTCTCTGTTCCTTTTTCTTTTTTCATCAGGTAAGGACTATGCTCAGTTTTACCTTCAAGTTCATTGATTCTTTTTTATATATGCTAAAAGCTGCTTTGTCCCCTCTGATTTTTTTTCATTTTGGTTATTTCACTTTTCAACTCCAAAAAATTCTATTTGGTTCATTTTTATAATTTTTATCTTTCAATTGATATTCTAAATTCAACACATTGTTCTCATACTTAGTTTTCTTTAGTTTATTAGACATGATATCCTCCCTCCCTTTTTTTTTTTTTGTGGATTTGGGGCATTTTGAACTTAAGCTTGAGGTGCCCTACC